GACTCCCGGGAGCCGTTTAAAGAATAGCTTAGGTCATCTTGAACAATGACGCCGAGATCCTTCTCATTCGAGATATACGGAGGTTGTTGATCTACCAGATTGCCTTTTCCTCTCGTCTTGTTTGTTCTATAAATTGGTTGCTTTTACAGGTTGAGGAGTTTTCTTTACTGTTGAAAGTTTAGAAAGTTTCTTGATGCAGACTGCACTGATAATGTAACAAAGACCAGGGTTTGTATCGATCGTTAAACCGAACCTACGATCGTTGTGTGTCAAACTCATGCCAAATTCAAGTTTTGCTCTGAGGGACGCAACTATGGTTGCTGATAACACTTTAACAGCAACTTTGAACAGGTTGGGGGCTCGACTCCAGTTGGCATCTCAGTCGGTAATATCGCTTAGGATCCAAGTGAATGAGCCTCTACTTCGCTTCCCCCAATGCATTGTGATCATGTTCTTGTTAAAAACTGAATACTGTGGTTGAGAACACTAATCGTTCGCCTGTGTAGTGGCTGGACACCCCGGAAATACTTGCCCATCAAACTTTAATGTGCACACAACCAAAAAATAGTTCCATAGTGCATTGATCAGGATGGCACTGCTCATTGCATCCAGTGGGACGGATAAGTGAGCTACTGCTTGGATATACCAACTTTTGTCTAGCCTGTTCTTCCGTACCCCTAGTTTTCCCTTTACCACAGGTCCCGACCCGTCACATTCCCTCAGACAATCTACTAGCCACTCGCCAGAAATCATTGTCAAGTAGTAAATCACTAAGTTCACCGCAGATTCTGAAGATTCGTTAATTACAGAATCTGGAGAGGGGACGCTCAACGTGAGGGCTTTGATGCAGGTAGGTCAACAACCATGCCTGGCGCGTACAATGGACCCTGAGAATTGATGTCTGCTGCGTATCGGAGATCCGAATCCAAGATCCTAGCACTTATAAGCCAATAGGGTGCGCCAGATTTCTCTTCGAGGTACTTCCTACGCCTGTTCAGTAGGTCAGTGTGGGGTAGGCACTGTACTTAATATTACAGCCGAAGCGTCACTAATCGATTAGATACCTGTCAAAAGTCGCTTATTTGAAATGCGATTCCAGGAGTCTATCAGTGTCCAAAAAATAAGTACATTATTTCGGCACTGACTAATTGCAGTTCCGACGCACAAAAAGACGAGTTCTATGACAAAATTATGGAATTCATTCGGTTGAGCCGAAGCTCCCGAATAGCTGTGCTCGTAGATGGTTTTAACGTGCAAGTTGGAAAACAGCGCATCAGAAGTTTGCCTGGGCGGTCGTTGTGCTCTGCCCTGCCAACGAACAGATAACGGTGATCGATTTCTTCAGTTCTGCGTATATCACCACCTGTTCCTATCCAGTAACAACTTCTGACACAGCTCTCATCGGATAGCAACGTGGCGTACCAATTCAACTGATACACCAACTCCGACCGACCATATAGCAGGTACCGTTGGCGTGGCTCAGTACAAAATTGCAGGATGATCGTAACCGATGGTTAGAGACACTGAGTGTCGCAATCAGTGGCGTTCGTGCATCTTCGCAATTTCTTTGCAACCGTAGACCACTGAATTTCTCCATTTTCTTTTCAACTCCACTTTCAAGTTTCCTTTCTATTCTTCATCCAAATGGGCAGCCAAAAGACAGCAACCAAAACCGGCGCACGAATATGCGTGGTTAATGGCTGTTCAAACTGAACTGAACTGCAGGTCCTATTGGACCACCTGCGTTGAGTCTGATCACTCAATGGTCGCAGAAAACCCAAAAAACTCGATAGGCAGAGCACCGTTTATCTGACCCAGTCGTTCGTGCTCATTTCGAATCAGAACTAGGGCAAGAGCTAAACGCGCTGTAGCGTGGTAGTCTAGATGAACAATAGGACCCGATAAAACGAGCAATACATGTCACCTGTTGACCTGAACGTGGTTTCCTCCAGCCCGATGCGGCTACAGTGAATGAAGCGCAGTGCCGCAGATAACAGCTTGGCATACGCAACACGTGTCCCAGCCAGTGAAATCCATTATTCTGAATTCGGTGTGCTAGCAGGTTTATGTATACATGATAGACTCCCAAAAACACGACGGCTTACCTCCAGAGTACTAACCCGTTCGCTCCATCCTATGGGCGCGAAACTGCATAAAAACCAATAATCAATGGATATCTTCCACTCGCAAATTCAAGGTCTCACGACCTTTCAACTTCAGTGAAAAGTCGCGTCTATGCCAAAAGTGTTTCAGTCCTGCGTATGCTGCGGGCGGTTGTCTCCTTTGCTGCGCTACCGTCATTGGTCACGCAACTACCTAAGTAGGAAAAGTAATCAACCATATCTAAATCCTTTCCATTTCGCTTCAGAACGGGACTCGGCGACACCCAGTCTTGCAGCATCACTTCGCACCTTGAAGGTGCAGAGCACATACCGAATGCGGCAACAGCACTTGCTAGTCTATCAAGCGCACACGGCGCGTCCTCCATACATTCGAACAGACAGACGATGTCATCGGCGTACTCCAAATCGTACAGTTTTCCTCCGGCTGCCCATTCAATACCTACGTTTTGGAGACCGCTAAGTGCCTCATCCAGTATTTCGTCTACGACGAAATTGAACAGGAACGCAGTTGATGGTGACGAACGGACAACTTAGTTTATTACAGACCTTTACATGACCAGGGGTATGTGACTACAGTGACCTCAGTAGGTTAACGTACTTCTCGGACATTCCTTTCGGAAAAAGAGAACCCATTAGAGCTTCGCGGTCAGCTGAGCTGAAGGTTCCTTTCAGGTTAAGGAGCACTGCGATCGTTGGCCGACGGTGGGTGTGATGCAGCTCAAGGACCTGACGGTCAAGATGATTGTTCAGATTATGTTGTCTTGCAAAATGGTTCTAGCTATAAAATGCATGAACAAGTGAGCACGTGCGAACTCGAGTCTTAAGTCTCGGGACACGGGAGAGCTCAAAAGTTACCTTCAGTTCACGGAACTTGGCACCAGCCACGAGCATAGCCCGCAGAAGCGCACGGGAATGAGCTGCTAACTGCTGCAATACGCACAGGCCTGCCCGTGTTGGTCCCAATGTGGTCCATTCTGAACCGGACGGGTCTAGCGGTGTGCAAAGCACCATGGCTGGCAATCGCTCTCGTCCAGTCTCAAAACAAGTCAAGGCGGCACGGCGTTTTTGTACATCTGACACCAGGGAAGGGTATGAACAAACAGGAAACAGGAGGGTTGGTTCTAGTTGCAAGTATTACTATCGTAAATAAACAAATGGTCCAGAAAGTTTACATGAGTTTTCGAGGTCAGATATTTAGACGTAATTTGCCTGAGAAGTTTCACGAGGAATCTAGGATCATTCGAAACCTTGCCCGGAATAAGGTGTTAACAACCACTGATTGAGATTAGGACTTAACAGTTAAACAAACCCAATTACATGGTTCCATAATCTACATGAGGGTGAAATGCACTCCAGATATATGCGATGTACCGAGCCTTCAAAATAGCGGTGGTGGCCAAGTGGTTAGGTCACCAAACCGAGACCCGGAGGCCACGGGTTCGAACCGCTCCAGTGCCGCCCGTCTTCATTAGTTCTATATTTACCCAGGCAGTCTTTGTATGGTCGCAGCACCCTTCCGGAAAGCTGGCTGTACATTTGTATATTCAATAAATAAAAGGAAGTAAGACATTTATTTTTATTTAATATTATACACATTTCAGCAGGATACGAACAAACGAGCGTGGTTGAGGTTATGTAAAGCCAAAGGAATAATCGTGACTTTTACTTCTGCTGGTGTCAGATGCGTGAGCGAATTTGTGCAATAATAACAACTTACCGGCAAACCCCTCGTTTAGGTCGATAAGCAATGGCCTCTGTTCCCAGTCATGAGTAGCTAACAGCCTTAGAAAACGCAAAAATGCTGCAACCGGGGAGCCACTGGCCACACGAACGGATTCCCAGTTGCTCATACCATCCGAGATCTCCGAGCGTTGTGCGACTGGTGTGGAAAATCCGGCTGCGTACAAGACCAGCAACTCAACCGCAATTTCCGTAAGTCGATAGGCGCAATCTGCGGGGTTCGGACTATTCGTGGACGCCTGGTGTCTATGAGTAACTAGGCCGTTTCCATCTCGTTTGGATTGCACTGCTACATCTCCGTTCAAATCACGAACGCCATCTAGCTCGGCCTCAAACGGGCACAATACGACGGGAAAACCATGTGCAGATAGCCAACGCTTAGCCAAGCGACAGGCAACAGGGAATACGTGAGCCTCACTTCTAGCCACAGCTGCTAGCATGCCACAAACGGCTGGCATGCTTCGATTTAAACGTGTCCAAGCAAGCGAAGCGGGCGTATCCACCAATGGGGTGTCTGTAGAGGAGGCAACAGAAGCTTTACTTTTCGACCCAGGCATCCGAAGGACCGGCAGAGCGCTGGAAATCATGGCCGTTTTCTGCAAAAGGCGCAACTCGCGTGGCTGAGCGACTGACACGCGAAACACAAGGCCATCCTAGGGGACCAAAAAATCATTGACACAAAATGGATTAGACTCATACTGCACATTACCGAAGGTGGCGTACTTGGAATTGAAACTAGAAACTACTAAATGAGAAATGTCCTATCTAATTAGTTCAGTGCGTGGAACAACGCCACAATAAATTAGTTACCGAGGAAAAGCTCTCAGAAAAATGGAACTTATCTATTTGGACATTCAAAAATTAATGAAATGAGACATGAACTAACCAAGAAAATGTCCAGCATATTATTTGCGGTCACGTGCGACGGGATGCCCAAAGGTGACAAAAGTTCATGAATGCGGATAACCATGAGGCGCTTCATGTGAGTGAAAGACATCAGCTCGTCAGGCCATTTGCCCGATTGTTCTAACGTCAGCACCACTGCATAAATGATCAATTGTAGAGGAAAATAAAGACAATATTTAAAAGACGCCAAATTACGAGATCCTGTTTATCATATCTAATGGTGCATGCAAAAGTGTCATACATTCATCGAACAGAAAAATCGAAAACGGAATGACATCAATGGCAAAAGTGGTTAGCTGAGTGTCGTGGACAAACTGCAACGCTTGGCAAATGCACCAGTAATATTTTATCGCGAGTGCTTGTATCTCACTGAACGTTTTCGGTTCATGGTGTTTTGTTTGCTTGGCCTTGCATGATTACCTTAAACTCTGACCCACGGAAGACCTTTATATCAGTGTTTTCTCGCCATGCCTTGTCTCAGCTCTCTGCCGCCATTCCTGGTCGTCGTTCATTGCCCGCAAAGCTTCGTATCGTCTCCAGTTGCGAGAACACGGACCGAGGGGCATCCTGTCGCGCGTCTCTATTCACTCCGCTGTGCTGCGAGAGCCTAGAGTAAGTTTGTATTACAAAATCACGAAACATACGACAACGGCGACGTAGAAACTAGTGAAATAACGAATACCGAAGCTGGCGTATGCTTGTGTACGTGCATGAAGATAATTCAACTTGGATGAGTGGATGGGGTGAAGAGGCATTCATACTACAGGGTTTTTGAGGGATTAAACGGTGTGAGCAAGCCCTAGTGTGCTGAGAAACAATGCGGTATATGACGTGATCCCCGAACAGACTACAACACACAGACACTTGCGTTGTTTGAAGAAAGCGCAATAAATCACGAAAGATCACGCGGGAGGCGCAAGGTCAATGTGTCATAACGCAAACCAGTGCATATTGTTTGATCAAATCTACGGGCTTAGATAATCATAAGCGTAATCAACGATGGCCTTAAACAGTGCTCCTCCCGCATTTACCCAATCAAGGTTACCTGCGTTGTCCACCATTATCTTGACACTGTTTCCGGCTTTTCACTTAGCACAGTTATTCCTTCCTTGGTTGAGAAAATGAGTGCACAAAAACGGTAAACTAGAACCGGCACACAAAGACGCATTTTTACGAACTGAAGCTGAGGAGCAGAGAAGAAGAATATAAAGTGCCTTCTGGATTTGGCAAAAAGACGGTAACTCATAAAAAGCCTTAAGAAGGATCAAGAAAACTGGTGAGCAAAACAATCAAGGGAAACGGAGGTAGCCGCCGCATCAAAGACTACTTCGCCCGATGCACAACACCCGAGGTCGTCGCAAACCGATCAGCAAAACCGTTCGCGCAGCAGAAATTTGATCGCTGGATAAAGTAATTCAGCTGGTCAGGGGGCGGAGTGATTATTCCGGCGATTACACAGGAAGCTTCGTGGGCTGCACCGTGCAAACCCCCTACACAACTTAAAGTAAGACGTCGTAATCGATTGAGGAAGGAATGGCAGTCGAATCTTCATATTCAATATGCCCATGACACCCCAGCTCATCCCACTACTCCATCACTCGTTTACCATGCTGTACTTGGTCGGGAAAGTGTATTTCTTCATCCTAGATTGAACTGAACTGAACTCCGGTCTTTCAAAGGGGATCATGCAACGACTGTGCAAGCCACGGTAGGATAATTTTAGTTTGGATCATCACCAAAGCATTGGTTTCTGTGTTATTCACCGTCTGTCGAAAAAAAGGAGACAAATTTTCGCTAATAGCAAGAAGTATTTCAACTAGTGGAGAACTATTGTTGAATCTGTCCAGAAGTAGGAAGTGGCATCACATATGTCTAATGCTTTAGTAACGTATCTTATCATTCTGACGGCTAACACAGCGGCTTGTAATTCAAGCCGTGGTATTGTGGTTGCCTTTAGCGGCGCGAAGCGTGACTTTCCCAGGACGAAGCTGCACTCCTTTTCATCTCCGGGTGATTGGTATCGCAGATAAATGACCGCTCCGTATCCAGTTTCCGATGCGTCGCTGAAGGCACGCAACGTTACACTTTCCCTTTGACAATCTTTCACCTGGAAACAATGTGGTATTTTAATTTGTTCTATGTGTTTGATCTCCCGTAGCCAGGCGTTCCAGATAGCTTTGAACACTTCGCCGATGGGTTCGTCCCAAGCCAATCTTCGATGGCAGAGGGTTTGCAACAATTGTTTCGGTACCAACAATATTGGAGCTACAAAACCGAGAGTCAAACAGAGAGGCTGAGTATGATAAGACACCTCTTTTCGTCGGTAGATGTAGCGGCAAATTGATCTTAAAAAGGAAGCAGTCCAACTTTACAGACCAGAAAAGACCTAAAGTTTTTTGAATTCCGGTCTCGGCAACATTGAGATTCACCAATTCGGAGGTCCTTCCAGCATCTGGGAGTTTCAATAACGCATTTTGGTCATTACTAATCCACTTATGAAGTCGGAAGCCACCTCGATTTAACAGTTGATTGAGCTGTTCCACGAGCCTATGAGCTTCATCCAGATTATCGACT